ACAACATATAACACTTTGTTTACCTTTTCTCATTTTCCCATAGAAACAATGAGGAAAACAGTAGAAAAGCGAAAATATTCCTTTTTTTCAATGAACAAAAAAAGGACAGAAGGACAAAAAAAAACTTATAGTACTGTCCCCTTTCAAACATCTTAAATGGTAAATGACCTGTACTCATAGAGCGCTTTTTTTCAAGTGCTTTACACTACATTCACTCACACACTGATGGTGGCAAGCTACCTTGTAGCCACAGTTGCCCTGGGGCTCACTTACAGAACCAAGGCTGCTGTACACTGGCGCCACTGATCACCCTGACCACCATTCATAGCAATGCGGGTGAAGTGTCACTGAAATCCAGGGCTTGAACCGTCAACCTGAAGGGTTCAATATATATTCTCTTTAAACCTTTACAGGGCACTCAGTGAAATACTTTGAAAATCTAAATTTCAAGCCAATAGTGTTCTGGACAAGACCTTAATACATTTGTAATATTAAAAAAATATGGATATTTTGATAGCAAAAATGTCATAAAAGGAAATGCCAACTTTCTGGAATATATTAAGGAAAATAACAAAAGTGTTTCTATAAGAAATTCATGAAAAAACGCTCTGAGAGTGAAAGAAACACATTTTCCTTCTTACAACATAACCTTAGAGGCATTAATGCTGATACTGGCACTTACATTTGTTTGTTAATTGTTAAGTAGGCTTATTAACTTTACTTTTTAACTTTTCAATTAGCTCCTACCTTTTTTTTCTTGACTTAACCTTTTTTTCCAACTGAATTTACAGCAGGTAATATATCATTCAAGGGCTCATCTAATTGATCAAATGCCAAAATAAAATGTACAACCCTGTAGCAGTATGGCTGGATATAGATCTTGTACTTCTAGACCTCACGGAAGGACGAGGGGGACTCTATTTGATCCCTTGCTTACTCCAGGAATATGCAAGGGATTAAAAAATGGGAACTTGCCCTATAAAGGGTTAAGGAAAAACCCTTGCTTTATAAATGGATATATAAACCCCAATCCTGACCAGACCAATCGATAACATAGCATAATATTCTGTCTTATATATGAAAACTTATTTGTCCTTTTTTCTGCTATAATA